TTCCCTTTCCCTTTCCCTTTCCCTTTCCCTTTCCCTTTCCCTTTCCCTTTCCTTCCTCTCCCACCATTGGCTTCTGGATTTTTTCACCACCAGGAATTTGGGGTTTTGTTCCTTCTTTAAATCCCGTCATGTTCCAAGTCTCTTCCTTAGGGGTTAAAAAAATTACGGAACAGCCTTCAGCTTCCCTCAGCTCCCCCTGAGGGATGAAATTCCCTTTTTCCCGTGTTTCCTAGGAGCGTTTCCTCCGGGTGGAGCTGCTGAGTGAGGCTGGGAAGGCCGAGGATGGAGCTCCTGTTGCTTGTTGTATGTCAGGATGTACAAAATCCCTGGAACTCAGCTCCGGGCTGGTGGTGAAGAAGCTCCCATTGACTCACGTACGTCCGTTCCCTGGGATTTGGGGTCTGGGAGCCTTCCCAAGCCATTCCAGTCTCTGTTCTGAGCAGGGATCTCAGCTCCCCATCCATTTCCTTGAGCTCACAACCAGGCGTGAATTCCAAGGGTAATTCCAGGTTGTTGCACTTCACTCAAATCCACTCCAGCTCGAACATCCCCTCTGAGATCTCAGGTGGATCCAGGTCTGGGGTTTTGCTGTGTCAGATCCCATGTGTGACTCCTGGAGTCCGTGGAATATCCGTGTGGGATTGGCACAGCACCCCTGGCCCCAGGCACAGCCCAGCTTGTGGGGCCAGGTTTGGCTTTGGTCCCAGCTGGATCCTTCTCCAGAGGGAGCTGGGAAGGCCAAGCTCTGCAGGGAACACGAGGTGGGTCTGGAGCTCCGTGGCCAGGACAAGGGGCAGGACAGGAGGGAGCAGCCTCGGGCTGTGCCGGGGAGGTTCAGGGTGGTGCTGAGGACAATTCCTCCATGGAAAGGTTCCCAAGCACGGGATGGGCTGCCCGAGGCAGGGCTGGAATTCCCATTCCTGCAGGGATGGCAAAGCCCTGGGGATGTGGCACCTGGGAGGCCTCAGGTTTGGCTTTTCTATTTTCACATCCTGAGCTGCTTTGGTGTGTGGGTCTGAGCTTCACATGATGGGATGGTGAGCTCTGTGCACAGAGCAGGGACACAAAACAATTCCTGCTCCAGCTGGGCACCAAGGACAAATGATCCAAACCTCAGCCCAGGAGCACAAACACCGTGGGCTGGAGAGAGAAAAACAAGCAGGGTGGGACTGATGGGCTGGAGCTGGAATTGGGAATGAACTCCAAGGTGCCAATGGAGCAGAACTGATCC